ACAGCTGTCCTTCAACAGTCCTGTAATTCATCAACTACTGAACCTGAAAGGGACTCATCAGATGATGAAACCCTGGAATTCAAAAGAAGACGTATGCTTTCTGCAAACGACAGGCTTGCTTCTACTGTCATATGCAAGAAAGGTCAGATTGAGTACACTCACACACCTATATCGGATGAATTTAGATCATGTGAGAAACTAAAAAATAGGTTTTCTGGGAAAACTCCGCTTGAAATATTTTTTATGTTTTTTGATGACGAAGTGATTGATTTGATTTTAAATCTTACATTGCTTTGCGACTTTTCAAAACTGATAAAGTAATTACTCAAAGAAATCTTGCACCTGCCATAGATGATAATCAAGGTCACCTCGTGATTGTTCACGCTAATAAAGCCCGAACGAGATGTAGAATCTGCTACAGACACACAATTTACATTTGTAATAAGTGTAATGTGCATTTACATACTTTATGCTTTATACAACATCACCAAAAATGAAACAGGGTGTTAGCAGTGGTGCGCTCCCGCACCATAAAATATTATGCGTTTTTTTGTATCAAATCAGGTTGTATTTAGAAAACAATCTACTTTTAGTTGTTTTCTGTCGAATTTGAACTTTTTTTTGTATATTTATGTATAAATTATTTGTTACATCTTGTGTGCCCCAAATCATTATTTAATATTTTTCCCGGTAGTTTTTTTAGGCACCAGTATTTTTTTTATGTTTCGATTTTTTTTGACACATGTAATGTATTCTTAAGTGCAACAAAATAAATAATTTCGGAGCAAAAAAGTATTTTTTTTATGCTTGGGATAATATGGGTTAACATATAAAACACATAAACACGTGTGAAAAATTAAAAAACAATTGTTTATAAGTAACAATCATATCAGATATTTTATTTATTTCTGCCATTCAAGTCTTCTGCACATTTGCTTCATGTGTAATTTCTTTGCGGTTCTGAATATTCATGGCCTTCAAAAAATGAATAATAATTTATAATTATTTATTCGTTTAGCGCAAAATTATACTTATCCAACAAGGTAATTTATAACCAAGATAGTGGAATTGGTGAGTTGTTCGTTATAATAATAGCGCAGTCGTCGAAGATAAGTGATGTTATTGGTCACAGTTTTCGCTTAACCAATTTTTCAACCGAACTCGAATAATTTTTTCTAAATACCATGATGAGATGTTGTTAAAAGCGCAACAAGTATTGTTCGTTTTACTACAACAAAGACGTTTAGTTTAAATCTATTGTAACGCAAAAAGAAATAATTTATATATAATTCACCCAATTGTAAAAAATAAACGGAAAATTATAAGATCTTTCTCGGGCGAAAACTTGTATTATTATTTGATACTATATTAACGCGGAGACTTTGGAAACGGTTGTCTAACGCCATAATGACGCGTTTACTTTTATCGTTTTTGTTTTTATTGTCTTTCCCCTGGAGTGCTACCTTATTCTATTATAAACAAATTGAGTCGGACCGGGGGGAAAGCCGCGGAAAGGGTGCGTTTCGCCGTAAAGATAGAAGGGAAATGACTTGACATAGCCAAGGGTTTTCGGAGGGCTATAACTGAATAATAACTTTGGCTTCTAACGTACAGAGTTTAAACGTCATTTGATTTATAGCGCTTACGATAATTGTAAATTTTTCCCAGTTTTCGGAGATTAACACTATTTTTTTTTTCAAAATTCAGAAAACGGAAAATATTATAAAACTATCAAAACATTTTATAGAAAATTTAAAAAATATAAAGGCTACTTTCACCAATTTTTTGAAAAACTAATTTTTCTGGTAGTTCCATCTGGGTGGTAGTTTAGACGCTTTTTTAGGTTCCCTTGAATAAGCTTTCAAGCTGTTTTTTTTTAAGCTTTGGTTCAAAAATTATTGCTTTTCATAACTAAAAAATTAATTTCGTCAAAATAAATGCAGATGGAACATGCGAAGTTAAGTTGGGTGGGACAAAGATTGGAATGGGAGGTGTGTGGTGGGTCAAACGGGCGAGGAACGAGGCAAAGAGGAAGTTGGGCCCAGGTCGGCTTCGTTGTTTGCCAAGAAAGCCGTATGACAAGTCAGCGAACTTAAAGCTAACTTCACTTTAACAACGGAGAAGTGGTTAGTTAGTGATGTAAAAGTACAAATACAACGGCAATTCCCTGGGGGGGTCGCGTCCTGGCACGATGTTACGTCTTATGTACATATACGCGTACACGTTGCTAAATTTTGCTTGGAACTCATTGGCGTGCATAAATTGAATTTGCCAAACACTTTAGTCGATATATGCTAATAATAGTATTAAACGTCGACACATAAACAACATAGGTCCTGCCCTATAATGAAATAGCCTTGCCTATCATTATCAAAATTGGTTCTAGATAAGGTTTTTCAAAATATTTTATTCTCTTGAATTCTAGGAAAAAATATATATAATAAAAAATCGCGTTTGCAAGGGTCTAAGAAAAAAATCATTTCATGCAACCAACAAAATCCTTGAACGAGAAGACGGACAAGATTTGGCTCCATAATCTTTTATTCTTGAAATTTTTTCAAAAATGCACAGAGTGGGCCGCATATTCAAAAAAACTGAAAAATGGGTCCTCTTAATATTGAAAATTGGATACTAAAAGACTGTATTTCAGATGTTGGTTTCTTTTACATGACGATATAGCCCCTTATAGACAGCTCAAACTGTTGTATTTAAGGTTTTCACCTATTGTATAAGGTGTTCGCGATATTCCGTACAATATAAGAAATGCGTTGAGTGTCCTAAATTTGCAGATATCGACTTCAAATTTACCAGAGAAGTAAAAGTCTATTCCCACATTTAAACACTAGAAATTGGGGACAATCAAATTTCACCAAGTATTTTTTAAAAATTTTTGAAATTGTTTTTTTTTTTTGTTATTCGGGCTTCCAGAAAAACATGTTTTTTTTTTATAACCATTCACCCGATCGACAAAATTATTTAACCAGCGAACGCGGAAGATACAGTGCTCTAACATTTATATTAGGCATTTTTTCGATTATGTACAGGGTTTTCCAATTATAGACAAAAATCTAAAAAACCCAGAAAATTGTTCTTTTCCAGAGTAAATTATTAGCCGCAAATCAAAAATCCTCAAAAATATGGCTAATCGGTTCAAACATTGTCATAGGCCGCATCAAGAGCTATAATTTTTGTATTCGCTGTTTCCGTCGATCACACATACTGCTCGAGATATTTGAAAGAGTCCACATGAAAATCACTATTCCGGTGGCTCAGTCAAGACACGATGACGTCATTGGCTATTACGATGACTTCAAAAATACCATATTTTATCGAAAACCATTTAATATTTTGGAAAAATTCATGGACCAGGAAACGTGGAAGATTCCGGGTTATAACCTATATTTCCGCATTTTTTCAAATATGTACAGGGTGTCTCGATTATGGGTAAAATAAATCTAAAAGACCCTGAAAATTGCCGGTTTGGTGGATAAATTATTCGTCGTAAATGAAAAACTATAAAACATGGGATAATTGGCTTTAAACACAGTCGTAAACTTGGAATAACATCATTGTAAATCGTTATTACTTACGTATTTTTTATATCTACCAAAGTTTGTCGTGACTTTGAAATTCGGCGATACGTGAAAGACGCTATATACAGGGTGTATGCACAATATATTTACATGGACTTTACGAAAGTTCCATAGTGGTCCGTAGGAGCACGATAGAAAAACAATGCGTCCCTCTAGCACAAGAAACCGCGAAACGGCTTCCTTTTGAAATACAAAGCTGCTTTGCGCTATGCGCTACAAACTTGCCCCGTCCAGTGACGATTTTTCGAAAACAATCTTGTTATGTCTGTTTTTAAGGTTCAGGTTTCACATCCCTTCGTTAAGACTGGTAGCACGCATTGGTCAAACACTCTTTTCTTGAGATATAATGGCATTCTTGATTTGAATATGATTGTATTTATTCCGAATGCCCGCCATGCTAATTTGACCCGTCTGTTGATTTCTGGGAGTAGGGATCCTGACCTGTGTATAAACTGGCTCAGGTATATATACTCCTCTACTATCTCTAGTGGCGTATTGTTTATTTGTATTTCTTGTGCAACTATCAGTTCATTATACATTGTTTTCGTCTTTGTTATGTTCATTTTGACACCTACTTCATTGCTTGCCATGTGTAGCTCATTAATCTGTAGTTGTAGTTCTTCCAGAGTGTTGGCGATCAGAACTATGCCATCAGCAATTCTTAGATCGTTTAGGTATTCTTCATCTATGCATACACCTTTGTTATGCCAGTCTAGTTTTCCAGTCTTGTAGTGTCGCCGTGAAGAGTTTGGGAGATATGGCATTACCTTGTCGTACTCCTCTGCTAGTTGGAAATTCCGGAGACTCCTTGTATACCATTACTCGAGCTTTGCCACAAAAGCTTGTACCGATATTTCTGAATTTCCGAAACGAAATAGTGAATAGACGTTTCTTATTGTTTTTTCACCAGGTTAAATTTTGGAGAGAATATAAATTCACTATAAATTGAAAAATAGCTGTACATAGTGTACATCAGGATAGGTGCTTTAATTAAATCATAAAATTGAGAAACTGGGTAACCTGAAAAAAAATGTCAAAGTACCGTGAAATATTATTTTTTACCTAGTTGAAATTTAGAGGGAAAATAAAGTTATTGTAATTTACAAAAAGTTTCGGTACGTGGTACATCAGCAGACAAACCTGGTACTCCCAAAGAGCGTAAAATATTTTATAATTTTCAACAATTTCAAAAATCGTTAAACTAAATTGGTTTTAGTTGAAAATATTTTTCGGAAAAATTTGTTTCAAGGAAAAAAAATATAAATTAGTCATGAAAAACTGAAAACGTTAAGGCTTTTTTTATTTGACTCTAACCACCATGTAGTTCTGCAGTTTATTTAGTTTAGTACTTTTTCGGTTGTTTGTTTACGTCAATCGTTTAAAAATTGCAAAGTGTAGGTCGCTTACAAGTTCGGGCATTTTGTGAATGACATTTGCTTGGTCTACGTTCCGCCGTCTGCGCTCGCGTCGTCTCACTCGTTTCACTTGCACGTGGCCATGTTCAAAATGATATTCCAGAAATTTTCGCATCCAAAAACCGCGACTTATTGCATAGGATGGTCGTCCCCACTTGTCTCGGTCAGCTTCGCGATAATCCACCAATTCAAATCGTAACAATCGATTCGTTTAAACGCCCGATTCGCACACAAAATTAATATTTTAAATAAATAAAATACACACATTCGATTCGCACGTAAAATAAAATATCCACACGAAAGCGCGTATAATGAAATGATGTTTGTCCACGACTAAAGTATTTCCTTACATACATAGTAGGTAGGTACTGTTTGCCATAGGATGGGGTAAATAAATCAATACTGGTATATTTGTACTAAAGCAAGAAGACCGGTGTGGGGTGAGAGGGTTGCATGCATGTTGTTTACTGGGGAAGAAAAACAAACAAAAAATGTTAGCTAGTTGTGAGCTGAAGCGGGCATAAAACTCATTGCGGACTTACGTGGCATCTGTTTGTCTTTTTCCTTTAATTTCTACGGGGCAACGTACGTCGTTAATCGATCCTGACGGGATAGGTTAACTGCCCGGATTCACTTTTGACTTTCAATTGCTATCGATTCATACCATATTATAATCTGTGGTCAGTTAACGGCATCGAACTGCTGTTTATTTATTGGAGAATATTGATATTTTCTGTAATTTGATGCAACGCCCCAATATTACATATTATTGTTTTATATAGTGTATTATATTATAATATATACATTTATTTAAAATAAAAGTACTTTCCAGATGTGCACAGTTTAGCATTACGAATACGCGGACTATTTCGCACCACTTTGCACAACAAAAAAGTTTCATATATACAAACCCAAAACCCAGTTTAAATTGAAATACGAAAGTTATTTAATGGGAATTTTGGTGACTTTTTTTTCTTTTTTACATAAAAAAAAATGCTACTCTACTCTCGTCATAATGTGAGAATATAACATTTTTAGCTTTTCTTAAAAATTCGTTATCAAGAAAACCCATGTTAAACCCATTACATAATGATGTAGGTTACTACTATTAATGCTATTACCCTTATACTTTCCATGTCGTTTTTGAGCATCACTGGTTTAATCTTCAAGTAAAAACTTTCCCCGTTCTTTTTTATTCCTTGTCATGGTCTTGGCTTCGGTCCAAGCTTTTCGTGTTTTTTGCACATGCCATCCGATGTTTGGTTTAGTCCTCAACGTTTTTCTCTCTCTCTTTGATTCCCATACTTGTCTTATATTTGCCAATCTTTGTAGGTAACCCGACCAGGTTCTTTCTTAACTTTCGTGTTTTTCGTGTCTATTTTTGTGAATCATCTATTCTAAGGGTTGAATTTTGCATTTTTGTTTATTAGTGAGTGCCCACGATTCACAAACAAATATTAAAATTGGCATTTATATGAAGACATTTATTCACTGGATGTTGCAGATTTTATATTTGTCCTGTTCTGCGATTAACATCTTTTTCCTGTTTTCGTTTTTCTCTACCATTCCTACTACTAAGTAGTTGAAACTTGCGACCTGCTGGACCAATTTTATTTGTATTTTTTGTGTTCATTTCCTATCACCATCGCTTTTCTCTTAGTTTTATTTAGTTTCATTAGAAATTCTTCCGGTACATTGTTTCGTATCGTCATCGTGGATACTTTAACACTCATGAATTGGCTTACCATTGTTGTATAGTTCTTTATTATTTCATTAATAAAAGATTGTTACACAGAGATAAAGAACTAAATTCCCGAAAATAAAGCACTTGTTCTAATTAAACAATTTAATTCGTTTCGAAGAATTAAATATCGAATTAAGGGATTTTTTTTTTAAATTCGTATCTAAAATATATTTGTTGCAAGAAAATTCTATTTTCCAGGAGAAAGTCTTACACTATTACAAGAAATATGTATGTATCATTTCAATTCTACTTTATTTATTGCAAGAAAAAGAGGTGCACCAAGTACAATTATTATTTTTTTGAGAGAAATTTAGGTTGAAGTGACAAAAGTGAAATATTTATTTCAAACAATGTAAAATTAATTTACATAATAATATTTATATTTTTATAATTTACATTATAAGGAAAGTCCACGTTTTGGCAAAATCAAATTTGCTATCTCCAGGTCGGTTTTTTGGCGTAGCTTCTTGTCGGTACCGAGTCATTTGGATCGGTCACCAGCGAATTACAATTTCGGCAAAATATGGGCAACTTTGGTATTGCTTATTTAAAAATATATTCTTTATAAAAAATTGTGGTGCATGATGCTCTAAAACCTACAATATGCAGAGATATTAATTTGCAAGGGAAAGGTATAACCTTAGTGACTGTGGGAAGTTCTACAATCGTAAAAAAAGGGTTGTAAATATTATGCCATATTTTCTTACTTTCTCTCTTTTTTCAATTATAGCTTCTTCTATCTGAGCGGATGTCTAAAATAACCCATACTTTAAATTTATTTTCTTCAATAGGAACGATGTACCTATCTTTGCTTGAAGAACGGTAGGTTTTCTAGACTCAGCAATATTAGGTTTCCACTTTTTAACTTTGAGGGGTCTAATACAAATGAAACAATTTAATTTCTACAGACCTTCAAACAACGGAGTAAGATGTTCCCCTCCCTATTCAGATAATAATAACATGGCGACAATACAAATGGCGATGTGCGCCTGGCAGCTTGTTACTGGCATCAAAAAGATTATTGTTCCATGAGTTAGAGATTTACTGGCAACAAATAAATTTTCTTCTTCTTCTTCTTCTTTTTATAAGGTTTTTGCCATGTACTCTGTAGCTGGTAAGATGAGCTCCAGCTGTTATGCCATCATATGGGGGGACGTCCAGGAGGTCTGCTCGATCTTGGGAGACCATCTCTTGCAATTTTCGACAGTCTGTGGTCCGTTCCGTCCGTTCAAGATGATCTCTCCATTCTCGCCTTCTGTTTCCCGATCATCAAAGTTCTATGACACCTTCGCTTCTTTTGTGGTCCCTCAGTGTGTAGCCTGTTATAGATCTTAGAGTTCTCATCTCTGCTGTTCGGATGATTCTTTTTGTTGCCGAGTTTTCGCCATATTACACCTCGCAGGTACCCTATTAAAGCTGCTTTGGTTGTTTGGCATTTTAGTTCATTTTGGAGATCTCCGCTGCTCGTGACGCTGACGCCGAGATAATTAAAACCCATGACCTGCTCAACAGGGCCGGGTTTTAATTTTAATTTAAATTTTAATTAATTTAATTAAAATTTAAATTTCAGCAAAACTTTATTGGCGCAATAAGAATATAATTTACAGAATTGTGGATTGTCGAATTAAATATTTTAGACAATTAAAGTAAAAATATAATCAATCAACCTAATCAATATAATCAATTGATTGATGATTTAATTCAGCTTAGGGAAAAATTTCTGTCAGTGTGTATAAAACGTTTTCCTATCTTTTTTGCAACATAAAATGTAAAATATGGCCAACAAATAATTTATTTAAAATAAAAGTTGAATGCTGTTGTGAGTTATATATGACCGTTTTGTTTTTGATGATAACCGATTAAAATTTTATGGCGAATCGCCGTCAAATTATTAGACGGCAAAAATACATTTTAAAAGGACGTCCAAAGGAGAGCAAATAAAAAAATGTTGATAACGTTTAAAAGCCGCAGTCGTGGACGCTTCGAACTAATGAAACTTAAAAGAGGCAAAAAGCAAGGCAGTCGATTAACCCCAAAGTGTCATTTAAAATTAAAGCCCCGATGAAAGTGAAAAGTCCTGTAATGATAATTAGATATTTAAAGAATTTTTATTAGACCAGAAAAAGGGTTTGTTGAAATTCATTAAGCTTTAGTATTTTAGAATTTGCTGTCACGTTAAAAATATACAAACAGTCGAAGAGATTTCAAGCGGAATTAATTAAAAAAATTATTTCTCAAGTTTAAAAATTTAAATCTTATTACAAAAACATCTAGTTGCCTCTAAAGCTGTTTCAGCATGTTTTGGAATTTCGCTTTTGATATACACACATCTGCAAAGCGAATATTGCTGCATATCGTGTTTTCTAAATAAATCGTCATATTTTTGGAATATTTTGTAAGTTTCGCAATAAACAGAAGAGAATATAGAGGAAATTATTCGTTATTGATTTTTGTTTGTGTATAAAACTGTCTTAATGTTCACGATGGATCGAATAAACATACGGGGTGTTTACAAACTAGTTCTAAATATAAGCATTAGTTTATATCTTGTGCTTGCGTAAATAATAGCTGTTCCTATAACGTCAGTCGCTTTTTTAAGGAGTCTATCGGGATACTTACGTTGGGAAAATTGTTGCGAGATCATGAAAGTTGATCTGTTTGCTATAAAAAACGCGAATGAAATAAAATGACCAGCTTTTGCGACGCTTACGCCGAAATGCGCGCCGTTTGTGCCCTTTAACTTTGGGGGAGTTAATGTTAATACAGTTTCGCACATAACACACGCTTGTCGGGCTCTGATGGGAATGCAACAAAACAAAACCACCTGTTTGCTCGGATACATGCGATGACACTCATACGGATATCTATTTACGTTTATGCGGGATCGTATATGGTCTGTTAAAATCGGATTTTATCAAATTAATCGTCAAATTTGCGCTGGTAGCTTTAAAGCGGGGCGTCACTTTGGGTCACTGTTAAACCGGAGGATACAAGTAGCTCATTATCGATGATGATTTGTTATTTTGGGCAGTAGGTGCTAAAATGAAAATTCAGTAGCAATGAGAAAATTATATAGGTTCTCTGCTAGGGTAATAAGATTAAGTAATACACTTGAAATTGCACAAAAATCAATCATTACTAATCAATAGAATTTGTTGTCATTTTTGACCACTTTCCATCTTATCTATAATAATAATAATAATAATAATAATAATAATAATAATAATAATAAACTGTCTTTATTGAAAATCAAAATATTACAATATAAGTAACAATACAAAAGTGGCGACATTCGCAAGTCTTTAGTAGGTCAAGCGAAACCTCACGTGAAAATCAAGCTTTTATGGGAGGTTTGCCAATGACTAATAAGATGAATAATCGTCCATATTGGAAGTGAAAAGGGATTTTTAGAGAAGGTTTGCTGTCAGTCGTGTCAGATGGGAGGCCACGAGGACATGAATTCGAATGTTTTTGAGTGAAATGATAAAATATCTTTGACATGCTAGTATCTAGTTCATAATGGTTGACATCGTTCAACCAATGGAGATTCAATGGACTTAGTTTGCCT